TTGCTTACGTGGTGCTGCCACCACACACGGGCAATGGACCGCAGACAGCGGTGCTCGAAGATGGATAGCCTGCGCAAGTCATCTTTACGAATGGGCCAGGTCTCGCATCCGTACAACAGTACAGCGCGAACAGTTGCACAATAGACCCACCCTTTGATGGAGAGACGAATGTCGTGGCGACGCCACAAATGCCTCAGCCTAGAAAAAGCGAGGCGTGCTTTCGAGATGCGCATCGAAATCTCGTCTCCAACAGCCCCGCCAGCAGTGCTGCAACTTGCCAAGTGGACAAAGCTCTCCACAACCTCCAGTGTCTCACCAGCAAGCGTGAGTGCAGGCAGAGGCACCTGCCAGTCTTGAAGAAGAGCCTTGCATTTGGATGGCGAAAAGCACATACCATACTTTGATGCTTCAATCGTCAAGCGGTTTAGTGCAAGTTGGACGACCTGTGGATCGTCACCCAGCAAGACGATATCATCAGCATAATCCAAATCAACAACTCGACTACCTGGGAGGAGCTCAACGCCAGCGTTCAACGAATCGCTCAGAGCGTTCTTCAGGACATCCTCAATGGCAAAGTTGAATAGGAACGGAGAGATAGGGCATCCTTGTCGAGCTCCACTGGAGACCACAAAGGTAGGCGAAAGCATGCCATAAGCCCTAACCCTGCCCGAGGTCAGACTGTATAGAGCGCGCAGTATGGAGACGAACTTCTCGGGGACACCGTTCCTCAGAAGGCACTGCCACAGTACTGTACGATCGACAGAATCGAAGGCTGCACGGATATCCAGGAACACAGCAATCGGTGGCCTCTGATACACATGGCGGAGCTCGAGGATCTGGCGAAGTGTGAAGATTTGATCGATGCAGCCGCGACCAGGGCGAAACCCAGCTTGTTCTTCTAGCTGCAACGATTCGCGTGTTGGGGATAGCCTGCGAAGTATGATGGACACCAGCAGCTTGCAAACGACGGGGACTAAACTTATTCCTCTGTAGTTGGAGCAGATTGTGCGCAGGCCCTTTTTGAAGATGGGTACGACTATCGATTCACCCCAAGATGATGGAACCTTCTCTTTCGACCAAATTTTCGAGAACAAAACGGTGAGTTCTCGGACCAGCGATGCGCCACCATCTTTAAATAGAGCTGGGTGAAGACCATCAGGACCGGGAGCTTTATAACGCTTCAGGTGCCGGAGCTCCTGCTCGATTTCCTGGGAAGAGGGAGGGTCTGTTGGGGTAGACCACTCGGCCCCAGCGCGAGCGCCAGAGGTAGAAGATGGAGCTGGGGGCCAACAAAACTGCGAGCCAAAATGTTCGGCCCATCGCTCCAACCGTCGTTGAAGATTGGTGATTAAGGTGCCATCCTCTTCGCATATTGTTTCACTTATACCAGATCGAACATCTTCGGTGACTCGAAGGAGATGGAAGAGTTTCCTGGTATTACCACAGAGACTAGCAAGCTCCATCTCCCTAGCACGTTCACACCACCAAGCTTCGCGGTCCATTTGCAGACTCATGCGCAACTCTCGACCAAGGGATTGGCGTTCTTCAACGTGTCTCGAATCCGATGGAATCAAGCGGCGTTTGTCCATCAGCGACAAGGAGTCGGCGGAAATCCAATGTTTCGGTGGGTGACGGGTAACTCCACAAGTGTCGATACTGGCGGAAACTAACGCATCTTTGATATGCGCCCACTGCGAATCGAGATCACCGTCAATAGTTGAGCCAAGCAAAGTTGACAGTGAGGCTTGGTACCTGGTTAAAAGCGCAGCGTTTTGTAGATTTGCGACGTCCGGTTGGTAGTGGGCACGCTTAGGTGATCCTCCGAAACGCATGCAAATCTTAGCACGAACCAATGCGTGATCAGAGTCCAGAAAAGTTGACCAGTACGATCGGCAGTCCATTACGCTTCCGCGCCATCTGTAGCTGATTGCTATGTGGTCAAGCTGGGAGCACTCTTGCGTTTGTGAGGGCGGGCGCCAGGTAGCAGTCTGTCTCCTCGAGTGTCGAAAACTAGTACTCGAAAGAAACAAGCGATGATCAGAGCAAAGAGCAAGTAGTCTGTCTCCATTGTCTGATCGACTGCCACCGAGACCAAAACTACCCCCAATGTGGTGCTCGCTTGGTAGAACGCGGCCAATCCGTGCGTTAAAGTCCCCGGCAAGAATGACTATATCCGTCCGTTTGGAGGAACGCAGAAGTTCATGTAGTTGTTGGTAGAAGCTGTCTTTAACTGCATCCGGGCTGCAGTCTGTAGGGGCGTAGGCGGAGACGACAAATAAGGCACGCTTAACATCTCGACGCCTGCTTACGTTACATGAACCTCTTAGTCTGACTGCACATAGTCGGCTGTTGACTGGGATCCAGTCAAGCAGAGCTGATTCAGCCCTGGCACTTAATATAACCCCAACACCAGCTTGACCAGTGGCGGCAGATTCTGGGTCTCCGGAAAGCCGCAAGTAGTATTTGGCGTCGGAGTTTACCGGAGAGGCCATTCTGATGACGGCGCTAGAGTCTTGTAATCTGGTCTCTGAAAGACAACAGATGTCTACCGATAGCGTTTCAAGAGTACGGGGCAGACATGCTTGTCGTCCGATCTGCATCAAAGTTCGAACATTAAACGCTGCGAGAATGAATGGAGAACCAGGTCGGAGAAGAGCTGGAGCTTCGGTGGTGTGAGAGGCGGTTGCGATCGCAGAACATTGAGAACCGGGAGTTTGGCTGTTACTTCCATCAGCTGCGAGACGTGGGTCGTTTGTGACGTTGACCGTAGAAGACATAAGAGTACATGTAGATGAAGGACGGGAGGTGGGGTGGTCTGTGAGTGGACGTTGAGCGGTTGAGTTAAGACAGAAGAGCGGCATAGCAGTAGTAGTAGTGAGCGGTGTAGTCCATAGCTTGCCGAACAACCTCCTCGTGGTGCCAGCTGGGTGGTTCGGGTTTTTCCCGTTCCAGCGAATGGTTCGGCGGCAGTGTTCCAGGACGTGGTGGGTTTTCGCCTGGCAAGCGTTCTCCCTATAAAAAGCCACATATGTCCGTTTAACAACACTGCGACGTGGCCGATGTGACTAGCCACTAAATAAAGTCACTGCCCCTTGCCCCTCCCTGAGAGGCATGGTACTTTAAGGGTGAGTTGGGCCCCTGGTCCTTCACGGACCAAAAGGCGTATGAACCATCTACTTGGTCACCGGCTCCCAACGGGTTGCGACGCCCTCACATCGCCCTGCTGCCTTGCAGGTTAGATCTTTGATCAAAGGCTCGGGGTAGGGCCCCCTAAGACAACCCTCTACTTCGGCCTGGGCAACCGGGTAGTATCACGCCCGCTGACGAATCATGGACGAAAATGCTAACCTTAAGAACCACCGGCCATTCTTACTCGCCCAAACAGGTCTTTGCGCCTTTCGAAGTCATTATTTCTCTCTTACAGTCAGAAGCAGCACAAGTGAATAAACCCTAACTCTGTGCACCCAAACCGAATCGAAAAACGTGAATTAAATTCACTGAGTTAACCAGAGCATACAACATAAAAGGGTTAAAGATAACAAAAAACGTCGGATTATATGTGAAGACATGTCAGGAGCTAAAGGGGTTTTAGTAAATGTGTACTAGAAGTTTGCGCCCTCTGGTACCTATGTTAAGGTCACAAACCGAGCACATACTGGCTGCTTCAAGACTCAAATGTGCGTTCCGAATCTGCTGCAACGACTGACACTCGATGATCCTGGTACTGTAGTGCTAAGGCATCTGCTGGTGGACAACGACGTTGCTAGTCCTACTCGTAAGCTCGGCCATCTTCACTTGAATAATTAGATCACGAAGGAATGCAGTTGTATTTTAAAGAACCAGCATAGCTGATTAGTCATTATATATCTGAGGAGGTTGGAACTGCCCAGCTGAATATTTCACGAAAGTATCCCTCCCTGACAGATAAAAGGCAGCTTAATCATGGCATCGGCACTCTTAAGCTGATGATTCTGACGCCGCATCTTGTGGGCACAGTAATGTCTTACAGGTGCAATCAATTTCCGGTACAAACTGCGCTAACATGAAGAAAAATATTGTCATGCAGCAGTTCAGTTATTCCTGTTCTTATTAACTGCCAGTTCGTTTTCCCAGCTTCCAAACCAGATAGTTCTACAAATACCCGGAAATGCATTAGACTGCAGTTAAGACCTCTTGGGCATCATCAGAAGTGCGCGTCCATCGCGTCCCCCAAGTTCCGGATACATAACTACCAGCGGCTTACACCACCAGTCAGCAGCCTATACCATTGGGCCAAGTGGATAGACTGCGATATAGCGCATCTTATCCTTCACTGCCTTTCGCACATGGCTACTGACAGTATACCTCGTGTCTTTCGAGGCCAACCCCGTCTTCTGCACCTTTCGTAACTTGCTTGGCAATGGAGGCTAAGACGCGATTTATTGCAGTTGGCTTGTAAATCAGGACGGTCAGACACTGTCCGTCATGGTCCAGTGGCATAAGCTGACTGGCAGTGCAGGCCGCAGTGGTCATGGGTTCTAATCCTGATGGGTCCATTGGATGCGCACTGCTGATAATGCAGAACAGGTAGTAACTGCAGTCTATTGCTTTTCTGGGAACGTGGAGAAATGGCTGATTTGGAAGCTGGTGCGACGGGCTCTTAATTAATGGCATCACAAATTCCCTACTCATGAATTCCTGTTCTTTTGGCTGTTGCGTAGACACACATGTTAGACCTGGTTATGCTCATTATTAGTGTCTAGCAAAAGGAATAAAACTCAACTGGTCTGACGTAAATTGACCATCCCTAGCATCGTAAACCTAGCTTCGCAGTGGTATGGTTCCATGTAAGAACGTAGCGAACTTTTTCGACCTAACCCGTTCCACTTGCATACTTCAGCTCGTTGTATCACTTCGTGAGGAGTACATCATTCTACATTAGTGACATTATGTAAAGTCTTAGATGTGGGACTTGATAGTGACTAGTGATGTCGTGGTAATGAACTCTTTTTACTTTGCAGCTGTCGGAGTCAACTCACGAAGTTATGGTGAGAAGAAAGCTAAAGACGCGTTGCGGAGTACTGTTCGTAGCTAGTATGCTGCTTTTAGTAATATGGAGGTTGGACCAAAACAATGACGGACATTTCGAAGGCGAGCCATTTCTATCGGAGTTGAACATGTTACCTTCGAGGAAGACTATCGAAGAACTTTCACTTGCGTGTCAGAGCAATTTAGCCCAACTGCAACACGGACTTTTAAGTCTCGGGGAACAACTTGAACGCGCTCAAGGGGATACGAAAGTTCAATTGATCTCGGATGCAGCAAACCTGACAAAGCAAGCAACCATAGTCTGCGAGGAATACCGGCGAAACGTGAACCGGGTAAATCGTATTCTGTTGGTACAACTTATAATTTGCGTTGTTTTGAGTTAGATATTCTGTAATATGCTTGGAATGGAATGAGGACTTCGTAGTGGAAAGAGTCGTAAACAGTTCCATTGTGCTTTCGTCTAAGAACCATACTAAAATGAAAGTATACCAAGCTAGGAAACTGCAAAGAACACATTTCAAATCTTATCTTGGCCTGGGAATTGGTTGTGGTGGCCAGCAAATGAGGATGTTGAATGCATTCAAAAGTTAAGAAGTCTCTTGAAGCAAGCAGGTCAGAAAAATAGCCGTTGATGTCCAGTATAGGTGAGAGTAATAAGATGGCTCAGGTATCAGCAGTTGGGTGTCTGCCCCAGCTGTCTGAAGTAATCACAATGTGTATTTCACACCTGTCTGATGGTCTATGGTAGGAAAGTGCAGACAAGCCCAGGAGGTTGCGGTGCTCGCAGTCTGAAATTTAAGTCACCAAAACATCCATCGAAGACTGTTGCGCCTCAGCATGAAATTAGGACTGTCTTGGAATACACCATTTTAAACAGGGTAGGAAAGTTGCTTAGTTACATTGTCGGATGGCGTCATGTAACCCACAAAATCCTCACAGACCCCAAGTATCTACATCTAATTACAGCGATTATGGACAGTGGACCTATGAACCACTATGGGAAAAGAGGTATATAATGGTTACCGTTTAGACCGCAACTTCAGCTGGTGTCCACAAAGGAAAGGGCCTGAGCGTCTCAATGTACATCATGCTGAGATATCAGTCCTAGTTGGCAAGAGCAGCTTTGCTGTAACTAAGTTTGCATAATGAATTCATGAGCTGACAGAAGACTGCACGCTGCCCACCCGACAGTTCCACCCTGTGGGTTCCGTCTCCATAGCTATTGACCGGCCGACTCCAATCACCAAGCAGAGAGATTTCGCGGTATTTGCGTTCAATTTATTCTTATTTATTTTATAGTTGTCCCAACCAGACCGCATATTCACTATCTATTACCATCACTACAGCCCTCTAATCCATTAGTAGGGTACTGAATTGTCTCATAAAATCCGTAACATTTCTTGGGATAAAGCTTTCGGATACTACTCTAGCCCTCATGGGTACCGAACAACCTTGTGAGAGCCAAGCCTAACTGTGAACAAGGAAGTCGCTTACAACCCAAATTAGCTTGGACCGTTATGCTGTTGCATTTCATTCTCACTGGCTAGTTGCTGTTGTCCGCCCTACTCAACGGCTTAAGTTAACTGGCCCGCACTAGATGTCCACGCATAGGTGCTCAGTGCAATCCACAGAAGCCTTGTGAGAGAACATGATGAGCTACTTTCAAGCTGGGATTCACAATTTCTTCATTGCCCATTCGATGTACGCTGCTGTGGCCAACTAGACCTGGCGTCACCTACTTCGCTTTCCGTGAGCCGGCTTCCTGTTCTTTCGCCTCTCCCGGCTGATCAACCCCCAATGCAGCTGCACCATCTGAGCTAAACTCGCTAAAACGCGTGCAGTTCGCTTGCAGTTATGGAGACCAATCCACAGTTACATTGTCTGGAAATATGCTGCACTTCGCAAGTTGTGCTGGGCTAATTATGTAGTTCCCATCCGGCACGAGCTATTACGATCAGCTACTTTTATCTTCCTGACAGTAGTCCTCACGCAGATTGCGTTCGTCCTATCCGCCAGCTTTCATCACATGCACCAGCTGTCAGTATAGTCTTTACTTTTTCTCTTCTGGCTGTCTTATCCTCCTTCCTTATGCACACGCTTGGACCTTCGTGGAACAATTCTGAGGTAACACTGACACGCACGTACCCTGGGTGCTCCTAGATATACTTGAGTAATATATTGTCAATTGGTTTATGAAACGTTGCTATTTTAGCTATATATGCGTTTCCATAAAGTCGGGTGTGCAGAAAGATAGTATATTAATGCAGCATACTAATTTAATATATAAATTGTCATTTCGTAGGAGGAGCATTGTGGGGTTGGTAGCTCCTTCTCTTAAACATTTTACACAGAAATACTCCTTTTGTTTGAAGAGCACCGCACTACGATCCGGTAGGTTGAGGTAGCCCCAACACAACAAGAGCCTCAGCGAATGCAAGTGAAAGAATATACAGTATTTTTTAATGCTAGGCGTATATCGAAGGCACTTCTTTCGCTCGGCTGGAGTTTGAACTGATGGACACTTACCAACTGGGCTATTCATAGCTTTGTACAAACTATGTGGTGTCCGATTACAGTTTTCTAGCGACGTTGATTGATCCACGCAACGTGTGTAACAAATCTGTTCTTAATCACGTATAGCTGTACACGAAATATCTTGTTTCCCTATTCTTAATGGAAGGAGGTTGATACAAAAGCCTCCATACAGCAGCGATCAGGTTCCTCAGGTTAATGGATGGTTAGTCCTTAGATGCTCAGCTCAGGTTCGAAATCATTGTACGAGGCAAACTACGACTTCCAGTTCTCTACCTGAACCGCATGGCATTATCACTATCCACAAAGTGTTGTCGGCCATTAGTGTGCACGCGCTTATTATCCTGTTTTGTAACCTTTGGATACTCCAACGAGCCCATTAGAGAGCCGAAGCAATGCATGCTGTTAACTGGTTGCTGAAAGACCAAGTGCATATTTGAGCAGATCTAAGTGGGTATGATTCAGATACTGACGTTCAAATGATCCACCATGCAAATGCAATGTAAAATTGCCGTACTTTCACGTAATCATCTCTAGTTCTACATTCAACAAGGTAGTAATGTGCCTAAAGCAAATGACAAGACTGACATCGAAGATTTTAACTACATCAAGCCTGCTTTGGTCCCGAATCTGCTCTAATCATAACAACCAATATATTCAGAAGCATGGCATTGCCAACAAGCCCCATTTTCTGCTTTTCTACTTCCGTGACATTTTAGTGACCAGTAGAGATTGATTAACCAAGTCAAGCTTCAAGTCTTGTACTGTCAGTGATGCCTAAATAAAAGGGTAGTTTATCTTGGTTGGTCTCAGGTAACGAGGTCTAGTATGAAGAGCCACCTAACATTCAGCTCGCACGTGATGAAAAGTATAAGAAGTTGAATATAGCAAAGGTAATTCAAAAATGATTGAAAATCTTTGAAATCACCATAGATCGTGGCCGGCATTTATAAATAAGAGATGATGCAGCGACATTTTGAGTTCGAGACCGTGTTATACTGGACTGAGTTTCCAATCACTACCGCTTCCAATACCGAAGTTGGAATAAACGTCGCTCGGGTGATTTTCCAACTTTCCCCGGCTTAGAGTTTTTATTCAGTTGAGGTAAACTACACTATATCCACGCCAACGGGTTACTTATGGTTACCTCTCAACAAATCCCGATCAGATGTGTTGGCAATAGTCAGCAGAAGTTGTTAAGGCGTCTGCGTTGGACGGAAGATAAACAGGAGAAAGCATATACATATTATGGTGACGTGGATGGTAACGTTCAACCACATAAGAAAGCCACAGGAACGAACGAGTATACACACGGGCACAGGTATCATGGACGCGGTCAGTCGACGAAACGCAGACCTCACAGAACGAGCGGAGCGCGGGTCGTGAGCGATGTACAGTAACGGGCCTGAACCAAACAGAACAGTGAAGGTTTGTCGAAAGGCCAGTAAAGGGCATAGAAACGCCTTTTTCGATGTGCCCACCAGTAACTGCAAACAAAGTAACGTAACCAGAATCAAGCAATTCGTGCCCTAGAACAATTCCAGATTAGATCGTATAGGGTTTACGGAAACTAAGACCCATAAAGTTGAAACGAAACGACGTCAAATGTGACAGGCAGTTAGTTCCCATTTATGGTGGGTTGTGGAAAGAAACATGATTGTTGTATGCTCCCCCGTGTAACAGCCTGGTTAACTGTGGTCACGTGCAATAAAGATTGTGCTCTCATGCCGCCTTGTTATTGTTACAAAATGAAGTTATACTGCATTGCACGGATTAGAGTTGCCCTTAGTCGACCTCCACTGTGTTGCGACAAGAAGGACACATTCGACTAACCAGTGGAAACAACCGATAGAAACAATGCGTGCGGAGGGTACAACAGGTCGGATGCGGAGGTTTACCATAAGGAGGATGCGATTGCTGTAACCCGTTGGAATGAGTCGACTAGATCCCAACATAAAAGAAACTTTGTTAGTCTCGAACCGAACAGACTATGCCCTTGGTCTCACCGGGTAGTATTATCCTTCCATGCTGCTTCCCTGATAGACAGACGACGTTCAGTTACCCTCCAATCGGTCCCCCAGCCTTTTGATCGTCTGAGTCAGCTTCAAAAACGTTGTTTGTTTTGGTATATGGTAACAGTACCGCTCATAATAGATATAGTGTTGTAAGTGCCGCGTATGATGTCTGTTTTGCAAGGTTAGGTTTGAGTAAGTATTCGTTTTTGCTATTCTCTGTTCTCTGTGATGCGGCCTCAACGACCCAATCGGATCTGATCAGTTCCAAAAGGATAATAGTTTAAGTGCCTCTGTTAGCTTCCATTGTAAAACCCGCAATGACATAAAAAAGAATTGGAAAATGGTATTGCACTTGCATGTAGAAAGTGCATCTGGAGTTACTGTAACCTTGGACAGCATCATATGTATGAGGACATGAATAGAGTGCCTGTAACATGCAGCTTGTCTAATTGACCTCTCACTGCTCAAAGTGGGTGACTTAGCTGGATGAATTTGCGAACCCTAATAACACAACCTTGCAAAGTTGGACTTGGAGAAACCACCGCGTGTCTAGATTGCGACACGCCCTCACTACGGAGACCTCGGTTCACTTCAAGGGAACCCTCAGTTATTCTGATCACAGGGACAGTATCCAACATGGAGGTGTTTTGGTGTTGCTGCTCCCAATACAGACACCCCATGGCCGGTTTCGTTCTCGTTTGGGCCCTTCAGATGAAGATGGTCTGATCTGGGGTGGAAACAATGATCTAGTGGTTAACCGTTAACGCATTGATCATTTTGCGAAG